GCGGAAATCGGGCCTCCAAAGCGGGGGTTTACCCGCTCCCCGCCCCCACTTGGCAGCCCTAGCAACAAAAGATATTCATTGGTCCCATTATTCTGCATGGAGTATGCATATTTCACAGAAGACAACCCATGTACCAAAACAGATTCGAAACACAGTTCCTCACTATCATATTTGGCACAATAGAGGGGGAATGACTGCATCCATCCATACATACAAGACTGCATCACAAAAATGTGTGATGTATAGGCCTTGTGGTAGCCGTGAGGACTTTGTATCATATGAAGTGGCCCTCAGTTTGTCTGAAAATGACTGTAAATTCATAGTATACTATACCCTTCTTTCCCAGCACCTATGACTCCAAGTTGTAGATTTAAAAGGAACAGGAAGAAGCTGATACTGTGGCATATGAGAACAACTGCTGGCAACTCTACATTATCTTGTTCAAAGTTCCAACCTGCTAGGACCCGGAGTTCTCCATTGAAATTTAGATTGTCAGGTGCCTGGGTCCCTATTTGGATTGGGACCGCCACTCATGGGAAGAGGGTACTTTGACCTTCATATCTGCAGGACAGCCTCTCCTCTTATATTCCACCATGTCAACTTTGCCCTGCAAACGGGTCAGATCAACAACTTCTCGTAGATTTGCATTCTCTGCTGTGGCCCCCCACCTTGTGGAATGGCCTGTCTGAGGAGGTTAGGCATTCTGCAAGCTATATACAACAGAATTCTTCAGGAGGGCCTTTTTTTATATAGGTGATAGAGCTTTCTTATACCAGAATGGTTCAGGAAAATGTTTCAGTAAAAGGAACAGGTCTGTCGAGTTTTGTGCTGTGTATAGTATGTGTTATAGCTCGGTGTAGTGGTCAAGAGTGGCGGACTCTAAACTGGAGAACTGGGATTGATACCCCCTCCCCCACATGAAGCCAGCTGGGTGACCTTGGGTCAGTCACAGTTTTCTAAGAGCTCTCTCAGCCACTCCCCCGCCAACCTCACATGGTGTCTGTTGTGGGGAGAGCAAGGGAAGGCGATACCATTTTCTACCCTGACCTGGATAGTATGGCTTGCCCAAGGTCATCCAGCAGGTGCAAATGGAGCAGTGGGGAATCAAACCCGGTTCTCCCAGATTAGAGTCTGTGCACTTAACCACTACACCAAACTAGCCATGCTGGGGCTTTTGGGAGCTCTGCCCCCTTTTTCAAAGGCACAGCCCCACAAGAATATCTCCTGTAAATGCTTTGTTCAATCATTTTCAAACATTTTTAAAGGTGTGCGCTCCTTTAAGCAGAGTGGGGTGCTGTAGTTGACTAATTCCCACACTGAGCAAGGGGATTGGAGTAGGTGACCTCTAGGATCCCTTCTAACTCTGTCAAGAGTTTTTTTCTGCCTAAGTATTAGCTTTCTTGACTGTAGAAGTCATCACCCCCGCCTGCCAGCTTGTTTTCAGAACTGTTGCTTAGGCTGGCAGAAGTGATAAACTTGCAGCAGCTGAGAACAGTTATCTAAAGTGGTTGACAGCTTGCAATTTAGAGATCTATCCTGGTAACAGCTTTCTATTGGCTAAATGGCTTTTCTTTCTGCACTGAAAACTTCAGCCCCACCAGAAAATTTTTTGCCCCACAAGCCACAAAATCTTGGCTACATGCCTGGTAGTTAGGCCCTGAAAATGATTCTATTTTGTGGGATTCACTAGGGGTAGCATGGGATTTGACACTGCTGTTTTAACTTTAATTTGTTATGCAAATAAATCAATGGGATATAACCCAGGGAAACCTCTTGCCATCCCAAATTACATAGTAACCTCTTTTCTTTCCATTCATGCAGAATGTTTTAAATTGACTTTACAAGGTGGCTCTGAAATTTCAGCTATCAAATTGCCTTTATCAAGTGCATGGATTTGAACTTACTGTAGAAACTGCATATAGGGAAAACTCTCTTATGTTTTGCCTCTGATGCAGTTCTTGTTAGTGGGGAACAGCAGTGCACACATATTAAATTCTTATGGTACTGTGGTCACTTCCAGGTGTATAGGAAAGATTCAGACCTAAATCTTGAATTGCATTCTGTAGCTCAGCTGTTCTATGCTTTGTAGTGCTATTTGAAGTATCTAGTTATAAAAATCAAACAAAAACTACCCCTTGAAAGATATAGGTCACCAAGGAAATAGTAATGGGATATCTTTGAATTCAGGGTTGTACAGTAATGTGTGTCAGATTTGGCTATGAGAAAATTTAATTCAAAACCTTACAAAGCTCACTGGGTGGTCTGGGACAACTCTCTACCTCATAGGGTTGGCGTGGGGCTAAAAATGAAACTCCACTGAAGGCTGCCTGGCTTCTTTGAGGAAGGCCGAGAAACAAATGTGATACAATGAACTGGATATAAGGAGATACCTAATATATACTGAATCAGTGGCTCACCTGATCCTGCATTTTTCCATGCTGACGGACACAGTTCTAGGGTCTTACACTCAGCTGGTCACTGGGAGTATGGGGGGAGGTAGGTGTGAATTTCTTGCATTTTGCAGGGGGTTGGACTAGATGACCCTAGAGGTCCCTTTCAACTCTATGATTCTAATATTAAGAATTACATATTGTATACTTATTTCTAAAATGATATTTTATGGTTTTTTTAAAAGTGAGGCTTCATACTGAGAGATCTGGGATGATGCTGACAGCCTTAATGACACACACATGATCTGTGTGTGGCATAGGTGTATTTAGGAATCAAATCCCAAGCTTAATTCTCTTCATCACAAAGGTGAGTGGGGAAGAAATTGTGTTTTAGGTCACGAAGAGTTGGACTCGACTGTGCGACTGAAGAACACCAACAGAAAATTTAGATTCAACGATAGTTTAGAGGACTAAGAAAAAGAAACCCATAATGGGAACAGATCCTGTCAGAAGGGGACCAATGATTGTAATTGATCCCAATACACCTTATTTATATAGCACCATCGAGAAGCAAATTGAGCAAACTCCAGTGGATGGCGGAAGACAGGAGGGCCTGGCGTGTTGTGGTCCATGGAGTCGCGAAGAGTGGGACTCGACTGTGTGACTGAACAACAACAACAAAAATCAAGAAGCATGATGAGAGAACAAGACCACTCTTCTTGAGATCCAGCGTGGTTTAGTGGTTAAAGTGTTGGGACTAAAAAACCCTCCCTCTTGAAACTTTCTGGGCGACCTGTAGGCCAGTCACACAGGTATCTGAAGAAGTGAGCAGTGACTCACCAAAGCTCATACCCTGCCACATATTTTGTTAGTCTTTAAGGTGCTACTGGACTCTTGCTTTTGCCTACTGAGGCAGACGCATTATCTCTCTGCCTCACTTATCTAACAGGGTTGTTGTAGGGATCACATGGAGGAGAGAACACTGAATGCCGCTCTGAATGCCTTGGAGAAAGGGTGGGATAAAAAAATGTAATAGCTCTCAGCTCCGAAGATCTTACAGCAGGGGTGTTGAACTCATTTGTTAATGAGGGCTGGATCTGACATAAATGAGACCTTGTTGGGCCAGGCCATGTGCGTCATAAAATGTAATGCCAGGTAGCGGAGATATAAACTTTATAAAAGACCCAAACACAAAGGGTTGGTTTTTTTGCTTAAAATAAAACCAAAAAACATTAGCACTCTTGCAATATTTTGTTTAACAGTGTCTGATAACTGACACCTCTTGCTCTGAATTGCTGCATCGAAATGTCTGTGCTGTTGCAATCTTGAGTAAGCTGTTCAGGTGTGTACCTGTAAGCTGCAAACCTACCATGACGCAGCAGAACTGGAAGAAGCAGAAGACAGCCAGTTCTACTGTGGGACTGATAGAAGCCCTCTGGGGGCCTGAGCTGCTCCCCCCCCACCGGGCCGCATGTTTGACACCCCAAACTTACATCCTTAAAATGAGAGAAGAAGACGAAGAAGAGAAGAGATTGGATTTATACCCCACCCTTCACTACCCAAAGGTGTCTCAAAGCTGCCTACAAACCCCTTTCCCTTCCCTCCCCACAACAGACACCCTGTGAGGTAGGTGGGGCTGAGAGAACTCTTAACAGAAACTGCTCTTTTTTCGAGAACAGCTGTGCCCAAGGTCATCCAGCCAGGTGTAAGTGGGGAATCAAACCCGGTTCTCCCAGCTTAGAGTCCACGCACTTAACCACTACACCAAACTAAATGAGGGATAACCAAGGGGAGAATTTGTCCCAGCCACACACCCTTAGGCATTCCTTTCTTTTGGAGACCAGCCATCTGAAAGAGGCCACCCCTCTGGGCGCAGAAGAAAGCGAGACCCGTGTTGCATATTTATTTATTTATTTATTAGATTTTTACCCCACCCTCCCAGCAAGGCCGGCTCAGGGGTAAGGGCTCTCGGGGTACACTATTTTTGCAGAGCAAAACTATCAACGTGAGCCTTGCTGCACTTTATAGGTTTTATTCCATCAGAAGCCTTCGCTTTTAGCCTGTTGGGGCGCGCGCTGAACCTCGTGTCACGGAGATGCGTCAAACAGGCGCAAAACCGGGGAGGGGGAGGGGGAGGCACGCGAGACACCCTCTCGGTATGCACGGTGCAATACCCTTATGTATCTTTCTCTTTCCTTCCCCCCCCCTCCCCCGGGTTCCTCCGCTAACCTTTCCCCTCAGCCAGTCCCCGCCCAATGGGAAGCGCGTCCCGCCTGTTCCGCCGGCTGCTCTTGCCTGGGTGGTAGCGTGTCCGTGAGCGAGGGGTTCCGCGTCGTGTCGCCCGCCGCTTGGCCCAGGGCTCGGGCAGAGAGTCCCTCTCATCCCCCCCCTCCGCCGGCAAGGTGGGCTCGCTCGCTCTGTTTGCAAAAGGGCTAAGCCGGGAAGGGGGTGAGGGGGGGGAAGAGAAGAGGAAAAGGAGGGGGAAGGAAGGACGGAGGGAGAGACTGTTCCATTCTATGCCGCATGCACGAACTATGGGGCTGGAGGCCTGGTGGTGCCGCAACTTGCGCCCTCCCTTGCCCGGGGCGCAGGGGTGCTTCCGAGTGCCCCCTTCCTAAGGGGTGGGTGGACGGGTGGGAGAGAGAAGAAGCGACGCTGCTCAAAACTTGCCCTAAAGGGCCGTGGGGATGGCCGAGGCCGATGGAGCCGAGAGGCCTGCTGCTGCTCGGAGGAGGAATTGCGGCTTGCCCACCTGCTCTCTCCAGCCAGGTGGTAAGGCAGAACCCCGTTTGAACAGGGCCGCCAGCCGCGCCGCGGTCCTCCCCACGAATTCTATGTAGCTGCCTGGCCCACCTTCCGCCCCCTGGGTGTGGGTGGAGGGTGTGGGTGCACGGCTGGTTTTGGGCAACAGGTGGTGGGTGGTGCCGTGGTCTGCGGTTCGTGGTTTTCAGATGGAGCGGGGGAGGCTGAAAAAGCCGGAGGTCCTTTGCAGGACGCAGGGGAGGGAAGTTGACGGAGGGGCGGCGCGTCGGAAAGCTTGCGGCTGAAATGCACGGAGTTTGGGTGCGGGGCAGGCGTGGATTTGCCATGCTCGTCGGCATGGAGCAGGAAAGCGATCTCACTCCGCCCCAGCGATGCAGGGGGTGGGTGCTGGGGTGCAGCCGCTGCCCGTCGGGCTCCGTGTTCCTCGTTGCCCCGGGGAAGCAACTCCTGCCCCGCTCCGGATCGCTCTCCTGCCTCCTCGTTTGTCTGCCTGGAAAGGTCTCCCGCTTGCTGCCACTCAGAGCCGCGCGCGTCAGGCTGGGAAGTGGAGCAGCCGGGGGTGGGTGCTGAATTGCAGTCCTTTCTCGGGCGCCCAGCCGGTTATTTTTAGCTCCGCCGTTCCAGGGGGGCTTTGCAGAAGTTGCAGCAGTCGCATCCAGCTACCTTGGAGCTGCGGTGCAGGAAAAGTGCTATGCACAGACGGGTGCTTGGCTGTTGCCTGGCCGCTGCCCCCCTCATCGTCTCTAAGGAATCCCAGAGGGCCTCATCCTTCCCTTGTTATGTGTGGCTGTTATGGCACCCAAAAAGGTACTTGAGAAAGGAAATGTGTGTGTATGTGTGTGTCAGGGTGGTCTGTAGTGACCCAGGAGGGAGTTGGGGATTTTAAACCACTCTGTTACCTTTTTTATTTTCCATTTCAGATGCCCCCCAAAAAGGGAGGTGATGGAATCAAACCACATCCAATCATTGGAAGATTTGGGACATCCCTGAAAGTTGGCATTGTTGGGTTGCCAAATGTTGGGTAGGTGACTAATGGAAATATAATTTGCTTAGTCACGCTGAAGGTAGTAGGCCCGTCTGAATAAATTGAAGAAGAGTTGCCCTGTAGTCTGTAGTTGTTACGGTGCTGGTGATGAGATCAGGCATCAGGATTTATTTCCAGCATTAATTTACTTTGTGGTTATGTTTTGCTTGTGTAGGATGCAACACAAATGTTTTGCAGATGTTCTAACCTGTCTGGTTTGCCACCTAGAAGGCCAGCATTGCTTGTTAATTGTAGTTTTAAAGCAGTAGGTATCTGTCTTAATATGTTTATAGATAAGTCATAACACAAGAAATTATTTTAATGAATTCAATACAAATAGTCTGAATAGTTTTTCAGATTTACTTTGATGAAACAGTTGATCTTTGGTAATAAAAGCTACACTTGATATGAATTCTCTGGATGGAAATACGTATTAAAGGAAGCAGTCTGTTTATACTGATATAAAGAAAAAGCTGCAGATTTTTTTCTTGAAAGATATAAAGTAATGAAACAGAAAGAAAATATTAAGGAGTAAGGAACAATATTGCATCACAAAGCACATTAACTGATGTACTTATGTTTGTGTTTGATCCATAGGTGGTGAGCAATAGTAAGTTTTGGAAGAAGAGTGTAGAGAGAAAAGAAGCTAAGGAACTCTTGTAATTAGACTGTCAGTATGTTTTCCTTGTCTACTAAAAGGCTGGAGGGAAGCAGTTATATGAGAATGCTGAGTGCTTTAGATCTTTATTACTATGAAACATTTACAGCCAGTAGCAAACTTGATGATTTGCAAACCTAGTGACAGTCTCTGGCCAGAACACTGGGTATCTGTGTGGGTGGAAGGAGGTGGTGAAGGACTGATAGATAACTGTTAAGAGAATCGTGTACAGGACTGATACACTCACTCAGTGGCTCAGAAGCCACATACGACTCTCTTACGTGTTACCTATAGCTCTTCTGATTACTGTTTGGCAACATGGCACCTGCCCCATGTTTTTGGGAAGTGAGCAAGACCCTTGACTCTAGTGGGGCTCGTGGTTAGTAGTGGGGCTCGTGGTTAGTAGTGGGCCTCATGCTAAGAATGGAAGTAAATGTGGCTCTTTTGGTTGAGGGTGATTGAGAATGTGGCTGTCTGTGAACCATGGAGGGAGTACCACTGCAATAGAGAATAATTAGGTAAGTAATTTGAGGTAAGAAAAAAGAATAGAATCTTGAGGAAGGACTTACACTGCAATCCTGTACTGAGTTACTCCATTTATATCCAGTGAAATCGGTAGGCTTATACGTTAGTTATTCTCTTTTAGCAGTTATTCTGCTAAAAGAGTAAAGCAGCTTACAGTGCAGCCCTAAATAGAATTATACCATTTTAAGCCCAATGACTTCAGTGGATTTAGTACACTATAACTCTGCTCAGGATTGCACTAATAATAGCAACAAAATGTAGGGAGCAGCGTACCAGGAGATATAGACAGGTTATATGGGAGAAAGAGGATGTCTTCAATTTGAATGCAAATCAAGATTGGTTGTGATTGATTGAAGTCCAGTAAACGCCTGTGATATCTAATTCTGTTGTAACAGTTGTGATCACACAGTCTTGCTTATTTGACATAGCCACATTGCAGTCAATGACATAACTTTAAAATAAAGGTCTTTGATTTTGTAAGCTTAATCATTTCAATTACACTAATCTTATTATGGGGAATATATTGTTAATTTAAGGAATATTCACAGGAATATTAACTGAAGGGCTTTGAAGTCTCTGTTGTATTAAGTAGATGTTTATTATGTTAAATATATGAATATGCACAAGTGATACTGCCAGTTTGTAAAGTGGTTTATGAAACCTTTAAAATTAATCTCGCTTAGATTAAACATTGTTCTTAATGCTCAGTGTTCAGTCTTTTATTTCCTGATCAGTTAGAACTTTTCCCATGACTTGCCCCAGAATAGACTAATGTTTTCATTTTGTTTTGTGCATGCTGTTGTGTGTGCAAGATACATAAAAAACACCATTTCAAAAGAAAGCTGTTACAGCAGATAGAAGATGAGAAAAGTAACTTTAAATAATTTCTGAGCAATATATAATAAAAGTTTGGAGCATCCCTAGGATTTTAATGGCAATTAGGAAAGTTAAAAAAAAATACCCTGCTCAGAGTAGCTAATAGCAATAGCTTAAAAACCAGTTTTACAGAAAAAATCGAACAAAATTGCCTAACCCAAAATTCTTGGACCAGACCGCAAATCAATAAACAACCTGCATCACCAAGAGCTTTAAAAGCCATTTGATTTATTTATTCAGTCATTTATATTGCATCTCCTTGGAGTCAATCTGAGCAACAGCACGGTTGCAAGGACCTCAGAACAACGTAATAGCCAAAAGATAAAACACCCAAATTAAAAATGTATGTAGTACAGGCCTTCCTAAAAGGTTTGTTAAGGGTCTGCTGTTGGATACTGTAACACAGTTGTGGAGCTATAGCAGAAAATGCCTGCCTTCTTACTGAAGCCAGCCCAAACTTCCAGACCTCTGAACATGCTTGGGCCTATAATAGGGGAAGCAGTCCCTCATATATGGGCCTCAAGTTGTGAAGGACTTATAGGTAAAGAAGACCAGCATTTTTAATTGAACCCAGAAACAAACTGTAGCCAGTGCACCTGGTAATATGCGCAAACGTAATTATTCCATTAAACAGATAAGCTGCTGAATTCTGCATTACCTGAAGTTTCGGGATGCCTTCAGGGGCAGTCCCCTGTAGAGCATGTTATAGCACTCCAGCTGTGAGTGGACAGTAGTATGGATCAGTATGGCCGAGTCTGGAAGGGAAGATGGTTTCATAATTAGGCATGGCTGAAGGAAAGCATTCCTTGCAGCCTTGTGTACTTGTTTATCAAACAGCAATTGATGGTCTAGCCAAGCCCCAGACTTTTCACATGGTGTACTGTGGGCAGTTTTAAATGCTTAAGTCAGCTGTCCTGATCAGCATCACCTCCTTGTCTGAATTCAGGTTCAGGTTATTCTTCCAGTCTGCCTGACTGCAATATCCAGGCGGATAGAGCCACACCTGGGTGCTTTGTTCAAGGTATTTCAGAGCTCCGTTGGGTGTCATTAGCACATTGGTTATACTGAGCCTCCAAGTTCTGGATGTCCTTATTCAAAGGCACATTATTGATATTTATTTATTTACTTGCTTTGTTTCTACCCCACCTTTCTCCCCAGTGGGGACCCAAAGTGGTTTACATTGTTCTTCTTTCCTTCATTTTGTCCTCAGAACTGTCTTGTATAGTAGGGTTAGTCTTAAGTGTGTGTGTCACTCAGCAAGCTTCTTGAACCAAGGCCTCCAAGATCCTAGTCTGATGCTCTAACCACTACACTCTTGAGTAAAACCTTGAAGCACACCATGAAGTAGACGCTAGGCAACTAATTCAGTGTCTCCCATTGTATAGGACAAAAAGATTTAAAACCAAAGGAGCAGTGTACCCATATCCCCTATCTCCTTTATTTAATATGGTATGGTCTACCATGTCAAAGACTGCAGAAAGATCTAATAAAATCTATAGGGAGGTTGCATCTCTCCATCAGAATTCTAAGATCATCCAGGAATGTGAGTAGAGCAGTCTGTCCTTAGCCAGGCCTGAAACCAGGTGGAAATGTCATTCAGGTATTCCTGAAGTTTTTCTGTCACCTTGTTTGAGAACAACAAATTTGACACCAGTCTATAATGGGCAAGATCACCACTCGATAAGGAAGGCGGCTTTAATTGAAGTTTTACTATTGCCCCATTAAAGGATTTCAGGGGGAAAAAACACTTTCTTCAAAGGATGTATTTTTTAATTCTGTCCAATGTAGCTCTAATCTCATCCTGGTACAATTTTAATAGCCTGGAGGTGCCAAGGTCTGTTTTCACATGGCAGCCTTGACAGGGAGATGTGCCAGAACCTCTCCATACAGTCCTGACAAGAGGATGCTTCCGAACATCCTGGGCATCAGAATTGTTTTAAACAGGGCTATTTTTGGGCAGGAACACACAGGAACGGAGTTCCGGCTGGCTCCCAAGTTGGCCACGCCCAGCAGGAACTCATTAGCATAATAGGCCACACCCAACAGCAGAAATCCATTAGGATTGGCTTCATTAGGGGTGTGTGGCCTTACATGCAAAGGAGTTCCTGCTACAAAAAAAGCCGTGGGTTTTGACAACAAACAAGGTAAACAGAATAACAAGCAAAAGGTGGGTGTGGCTGGATAACCACACTTCTGGTAACATGGGGGTGTGTCCTAATGTGCTAATGAGCTGTGCTGGCAGGGGTGTGGCCTAATATGCTAGTGAGTTTCTGCTGTTGCGTGTGGCCTATTATGCTAATTAGTTCCTGCTGGGCTTTTTCTACAAAAAGAGCCCTGGTTTAAACCTGCCATCTGAACTGGAACAGTTGAGAGAGATTTAATCAGCGGTGGAGTGTCATGATGATTAACCAATTTGCCTGTCTCTTCCAGTGTTTCAGATCTCAGTGTTAATAGAACATAAATCTCTCTATACAACTTTGGTGGATGACATTCTGTTGATGCCAGGGTGGTAGAAAAAAACTTTCTTTTGTTGCAGTCACTGCTACCTCATAATCTAGCAAGTGGGCTATATGGTGTGTCTGTCTGGTAGCCATCTCTCAGCTGTTTTCTGTAAACTGGGAAGCTGTGGCTTATTTAAAGGATGGAAAGGCCACTAGGGACCACCTCTGTCCAAAACTCCCTGCAGCTTGATGTCCTACACCTGAACTAAGGCTTTGCTCCATGATGTCCTCTTAAAAACAACAATACAAAGTATAGAGACCTTTAATGCTCTATCCCCAGTTCCATGATTTATTTAATTTATTTATTTATTTATTATTTCAATTTGTATCCCGCCTTGCCACAGAACTGGCTCAAGGCGGCTAACAACATTAAAAACACTAAGACAATAAATACATTAAAATACAATGGAGAATAAATATAACTGTCTAAGCAACTAAACAGTACTAATTATAAGCTTTGCAATGTCGCGTATATTGGTAGGCTGCTCCCAAATACAAATCTCTTGTTTGTTTTTCAAAATAAGGAAATCTACATTTTTCAACGTGTTAACCAAGAATCAAGCTGCAGCAGAGAATTTCCCTTTCTGCACTATCGATCCAAACGAGAGCAGGGTACCTGTGCCAGACGACAGATTTGATTTCCTTTGCCAGTACCATAAGCCACCAAGGTAATTGTTTCCTTCACAAAGATGTAAGCTTCTTAATATTAATAATGTGGTGATATTAATAAATTTCTGAGATGTCTAATCTGTTTCTCAAAATCTTTAAGCGTATTTTTGAGTCTTTGCTACTTGAGTAACTCTCAAAACTTGGGTTACCTTTCAGCAACAATAAAGGTTCCTTCTGTAACTAGAGGAGCGATCATTACAGTAAACACCAAAGATCACAAGAATTTTTTTTAAAGCAACTTCAAGAGAATTTTATAGTTTTGAAACTGAAATTATTTAATCAGACAACTTTAAGAACATCTTGCAGATTAAGTCTTAAGGAATTTATTTATTAACCTATGCATTCTTGTTATCTGGCCTTGATCATACATATCTGTGTGGATGTGCAACAGCTACAAAAGATTGGTGTTAGGGATTGGTGTTACTGGCAACAAATATTTTGCCTTGAGATGATTCTTTCTTAGCACAGACAAGCTGCCGTTCACAAGCCTGCCTTCAAAGCAGATCTCATGAAATACTTCACAATCATGGCTTGGATCCTAAGCTGCCATATTGTCAGTGTAACAGGTGTTCTGCTAATGGGACAGTATCCTGATCCTCCACTCCCTTTGGTGAACACATGGCCTCTTGCATTGTGTTGGTTGTGTTGGTTGGGGGGCTGTTGACCTGCAGGAGCACAATTTTGGAGGGCTATGTGGATTGCAGTGGGAGGGGTATGTGGGAGGCTTTCTTTAAGGGAATTTTGCTCATACCCGTATCTTTATGGTTTGGCCAGTTCAGATGGTGAATCATCAGGTTCAGATTTTAGTGGTTTGTTCCTCTAGTTTTAGGGCAAATCTAGATATAATGGTGGTGGTAGACATGGGCTTCTTTTCACCTTCCTGCCCTGCTCACCCTTAAAGGGTATGGGTTGGGGAGTATTATTTTAACAGTAGACAGAGTACGCAGGAAAGGATACTGAACTCTCCTCCTCCCAACTTGAGTTTGTTGCCCAACTGTGTCCAACTGGCTTTTATCTGTGTCCAACTGGCTTCCCATATTGGAAGTCCAAGAAACGATCCAAAAAACGGAAACCTGTATGCGTGCTTCGCTACAAAAATAGTTTAAGTATTTAAAGTGACAGTGTAATAATCCAGAGTGCGAATATACACACAATCAACATTTCACAAGGTAAGTACAAAAATAAGCAAATTGATGAGATGTTATGAGATGTTAACAATAATCTCCGGAATGTTCTACCGTTTTGATAATAATTTTCTTCCGAACGAAGATGAAGAATCTTATGAGAAATGTACAGTAACAATATTACTTAAGAATCCTTGACAAATGTAACCACCAATAATTATATGTTAAAAATGGTAACAAATAAATTAATATCTTACATGCAACGTCTCTAGTCAATGTCTCAACTGGTACATATCAATAAGTCTCACTTACTTATTCTTAAGTAATATTGTTACTGTACATTTCTCATAAGACTCTTCATCTTGGTTTGGAAGAAGATTATTATTGAAATGGTAGAACATTCCGGAGATCATCGTTAACATCTTATTATAACATCTCATCAATTTGCTTATTTTTGTACTTACCTTGTGAAATGTTGATTGTGTGTATATTCGTACTTTGGATTATTACACTGTCACTTTAAATACTTAAATTATTTTTGTAGCGCAACACGCATACAGGTTTCTGTTTTTTGGATCGTTTCTTGGACTTGCTTTAATACTGTTACCATCATTTCTACACAGTTCCCATATTGGAAGCCAGGAAGGGAGAAAAGTGACTGAAACAGCTAGCTTTTGGGAGTTAAGGTGGAGATGTGTTAGCACACTTTCTCCATATGTTGTTGTTAGCTCTCTCCACATTTTCCAATCTTGTACTGTTTCTTTGAGTTGTTCCATGCTCAGGCTGGTGTTGACTTCTATGGTGTCTAGCCACTGTGTTCTTTGGCTGCCTGGTTTCCTTTTGCTGCTAACCAATCAAAGCATAGTTGCTTTTTCTAGTGAGTTCTTCTGCATGACATGGCCGAAATAAGTCAGTCGCAGTTTTGTGATTTTTCCTTTCAATGGCATGTCTGGTTTTATGCGCTCCAATGCTTGCTTGTTTGTTATCTTTGCTGTCCAATGAATGCTCAGGAGCCTTCTCCAGCACCACAGCTCAAATGAGTCAATTTTCCTCCTTTCTCCATATACTGTTATTGATAGCTTTACTTTATATATGTATAGGACAGATGCATGAATGATAGTTGTGTCTCGTTCAGTCCTTAAATGCACTCCTCTCTTTCATCTTCACTGCATTTCATTTGACCATTTCTTTCCTTCGACCATTCTTCCCATTTCCTATTTTCTGAGCTGTGGCTCCTGTAGGATTGCCTGTAGGATTCTTGGTAGGAACTAACTCTGACCATCTCTTGTGACCTCAACATCTGGGAATGTGGTGTTTGGCAGAGCCTGTGAATCTGGGCACTTTTTGTATGGAGAATGTGCTGTGCAAATCCTAAGTATGTTTGCTCAGAAGTAATCCCCATTGCGCTGGATGGGGTTTAATTCCTAGAAAGTGTGCTTAGAATTGCAGCTTAGTTAACTGGATACTGTGCCAGACTTTGGGCTCTAATCATTTGCTTCTTCCTTTTGCTTTTTATTAAATCATTCTTGTTTGGAAATGGCTGGTTTGCTCTTTCGCTTAAGCTTAAAGAGGCTAACTCGTGTTTCATTCAAGACTGTGATGATAAGCACCAGCATCCCAGTAAATAGCTTGCTTTCCTCCAGCAGTAGGTTTTCCAAGGATGTTCCACTTGCTGGTGAAAGCAAGAACAGAGGATGAAGTTAACTTTTCAAAAACATAACTAAAGAATCTTTTTTTGGCTGAAGTTTTGGTTGCATTCTCAGTTTTTCAGATGGGTGCAAGTGCTTTACAAAAACATGCAAAGTGGGAAGTCTTGCCTTGTGTGAGAATCCACTGTGAGGGAAACATGTGGCTGACTTTAGAATGACATACTAGCCATAGTGTTTTATAAGGCTTATCCTTTTTTAAGGAATTTGTGCCTGTATTTCATCCAGGAGCCTGATGTACTCAAAAGACCTCTGTATTCAGGATGTGTTATTTGTTCTTTACTTAGTAAGTTTTCTCAGCCTGAACACTGGATAGGTACCATAAAGAACTATTTAGTCAATGAACACGAGTAAAAATGACATATTATTCTGCCGTTCTTATGCTTTTTTGATCTTTGTTTTGTTCAGAATTATTTGGATGAGTGTTTATAACGTAATTATAGTATCTTGAAATTAACAGCAAGGTACCAAAATCCATGAATCCACTGATATGAAAGGCAAAAGCGTGGATTTTTAGTATTGCATGAAGTTTAGTGTTGAGGCAGAAAGAAGAAGAGAAGGTTTCTATACCCTGCTTTTCTCTATATTAAGGAGTCTCAAAGTTACTTACAATCGCATTCCCTTCTCCTCCCCACAACGGGCACCTTGTAATGTAAGAGGAGCTGAGAGAGTTCTGAGGAACGGCGTAACCTCTGGAGACATACCTATTATTCTTACCAGGCTTGCTTATTAGTTGAAGTATTTTTTAAAGCAGTCTGTTCTCAAAGAGATTGTGTTCTTGATGATATTGCAAATATGCATTTCTATTGAAAAACAGCATACCCAGCTTCAGTCATTCTGTCCTATACTGTTACTTATTACTAAAACCTTGAATTATATCTTTCAGCAAAATTCCAGCCTTCCTGAACGTCGTGGATATTGCTGGCCTTGTGAAAGGAGCTCATGCTGGACAGGGTCTAGGAAATGCTTTTTTGTCGCACATTAGTGCCTGCGATGGGATCCTTCATCTATTGCGTATGTAAACCAAATAATTTTACGTTAATGTAATTTTAAGCCTGGTGTTTATCTTTTCTTATGTAAAGGAATAAAACACTTAATAACGACTGACAATTTATAGGAGGGGGGGAAACCCTGCTGTTCTCCCCAGAGAAAACAATTAATTTAGATTCAAAAATTGGATTTTACCTATAAATGGTTTGGATCCTGCCACGCAGCTCTGGCAACTTAATGTCACTTGAAGCTTTGAAAGAAGGGGCAGTGATTTCCTCAGATTCTTCTCTCACTCTTTGCCCCCTATGGGTTTGGGTGGGTGGGGGGCTTGCTGGGGTACAGAGGGAAGCGAAATGGGTCAGTCCCATTCCAGTGTTGGTGGATGGTTGGATTTATACCAGTAAGTCGAATGTTTTTGTGATACTGGAGATAGCTTTAGCTATGGACATGTTTTGCATTGTTCATATTTTAAGGAGAACAGTGTTTGTAGCATTTCACTAAACATAGGGTTTAATTTAATTACTTCCTTCTGCTGCGTGAGGAGGAGTCTTGCTTGTGGAAAGAGAGTCATTGGATCCAACCTGATGTATGCATTTTATTTTTAATTTTATTTTGGTTAGAGAGAGTTGAAGTTTTTCTACAGTGACAAATGGATATTGGTGAATCGATTCTCATTTTGACCCTTTTGGGTTTTGACAGAGTAAATGTCATGGTATGATGGGGCTGGGCTCATTGTAGGGTGTTCTGCCCTAGTATTGGTGTTGTGTGAGTTACAATTCATATTTGTCAATCTAGCATTATTGAATAATCTTATTCAATTCTTTATCCTATACCTAATAATAAAAAATCCCATCATTGTGCTAAACTTAAAAACAATAGCTACAAAACTGTTTTTGCAAGGTGATCCACATGGTAACGCAACGAAACAATAAAATTAGTCTAGTTAGCTGAAGTCTTCTGTCAGCATAATTTTTGAGATCTTGTTTTGGACTGGTGTCTGTCCTTTTCTCCTAAAAAGTAATGTTGAGGTGCACCGTGGCTTACAAAATAGTGTGTGTTTCTCTTATTTTCTCTGTGGGAGCCAATGAGGCAGTGCAAGTGTCTCAGACAGGTACCCCAAGAGAGGGAGACTATGGGGACAAAATTAGGGGGGCCCAGTGTCAGGTCGAGGGCCCACAGCTGGGCCTCCCGGACAGCTGACATAGTAAGAGTTTAGTTTCCCCTGGAATGCCTCTGCTCTGTCCTTTCTACTGCGATCTCTCTTCCCCCCTCCCTCTCCTCCCAACTCACACAGAGTGAGGGTGAGAGACAGATGGGGGTTGTCTCAGTTTCCTATGCATGCCCCCTTCCTGCACCTGTGTAGCCAGCCAGCCTCACACTGTGCAGCCTCGCACTATGCAGCCAGCCTCACACTATATCATGCAGTCCATGTTTCTTATGGAAAGGCTGTAGTAAGTGCACTAACTAGAGATGTAAAAATTCTGGAGAGTTTAAAGCTAAGGGGAAAATACATTTTTTCCCTGTTTTTTTTGAGGAAAAGACATTTTGGGGGGAAATTAAAATATACGCAATACTTGTTTTTCTATCAAACCTAAGTCCATTTTGCTGCTTTAACAGTGTCAAATGCATCATGTATAACTTAGCATACAGAATTGTATTGATTGGCATATATACGGCATGTATACATGCCTTAATTTACTGCAAGCAAATACTAGTATACCCAATAGTGGATGAAGAGAGAACTGCAAAGTGCTGTACCCTATGTTCTTTTGGTACATTTCTCTCATTCCAAAAGGGGGAAAAATAATAGGAGGTTTTTTTCCAGTTCTCCCCAGAATTTCCCAATTATTCAGTTGGAAGTACTTGGGGGGGGGGAGTCCTCAGTGGAAAGACGGTGGCGGGAAAGAACTTTCCCCCTCAAGATTCATAGCACTACGTGAAATTAGATAAAGGTGCTGCATGGATCTAAGTCCTGAACCATCTTTAGGGGAGTGCAGCTCTATCATCTGACCTCATAGTTTTGCATTTTGTTGATGAAAGCTTAGCATTTTATATGATTTTGTTCTTCCCCCTCTGTCCCCCAAACACATCTCCTCTGCGCCCCCCCTCCAATACCTTCAAAAATCTCAAGAATCACTTTGGGTTACCAAGGCAACTGGTAATAAAAATGCTAAGTCTCTTGCAGGGCATCTGGGGAGGGGTCCAAGGCATTGTACTGTACACGTGGAACATGATGCTTGGTATAGGGTACTAAAACCTTCCAGAGATTCTGTGCAGTGCGGTAGTCTCTGGTCGTGTGTGTGTGTAGGGTAACGGAGACAGTAGTTGGCCATAGCTGATGTGGGACAGGAATGAGGTAACCTTTCTCCATGCATTTTATTTATTTATTAAATTAGATTTACTAGGCTGCCCTTCCTTACAAGTAGGGCTCAGGGTGGCTTACAACCAGGTAGCTCTGGTTAAACATGTTGGGGGGGGCACAGTGTGGAGGGAGGAAAGAATGAGGCAGAAGACTGGGGAAGTGGGGGGCCACTGGGCAGAGAAGTAGGATTTCTCTTCCCTCCACAAGTCCTTGTGGGTCCCTCCTCTTGTAAGAGCAATATAATCTATATTGATTTTTAAAACATCAAACTAATTTATATCGTAATTGATATTTATGGAACATCAATTGAACTTATATATTTTGGGAAATATTGTCCTATATATATGTTGAAGTTGACTTGACTGTATTAGTGTGATTCCACTGAGGTAGGTACACTTCGAAAATTTGCAAAACTGTCCATATTTCCAAGGTTATTGTTAAATGTGACCTGAGGGCTGCTTGAAATGTTCCCTCCCCCCTCTCTCCCATGCATGTATTGCCTCTCATTGTATTTTTTTTATTTAAAAAAATGAAAAATTTACATTAAAATTAACATCAACAATCCCCCGGGTTCCCCTCACCCCCCCAATAATTTTAAAAAAGTTCATATAAACTACTTTATAAAACAACAAGGATCTAACTCAATAAATTACTATAACTACACTCCACAGAACAGACTGTAGACCTAACATGAGGCTAATCAGAGATTTATCAAGTCCAAATTATCGGCCGTAGCAGGAATCACTGCTTGCGACTTCAGGTAGTCTAGGATTGGTGCCCAAGTATGAAACAGTCGTGATTTATAGGTGGTATGTGTTTCTCATAAGATTTTATCAGTCAATTTAGCAATTATAAAGCAGTCCTATATCCTATTTTGCCAAGCTGAGATAGAGGGATCCCTACTATCCTTCCACTTAGCCGCGATTTCCATCTTTGCTAAGGCAAGTAGAGTCAGGACTATCTGTTTGTTTGAAGATTGTAAAATAGATTCAAGTGTTTTATGAAGTAATAATGCTTCAGGTGTTTCCGGTAGATTGAGACCTGTTACCTCTTGGATGGCAGCATTAATAAATACCCAAAAGCGCCTGACTCTAGGGCATGACCACCAACAATGGAGATATCCTGCAGTTGCCTCTCATTGTATGGAAAAACCTCATGTGCTGTGGTGCTCCAGACAGTATGATAATCTCAGTGAAGGAAAGCCACATATACTCCTTCATTATGTGGTCTGTTGAATCCTTCAAAAATTCAGCTCGGCACATGTGAAGGGTAGACTGAACAGCTTTACCAGTTTTTAATTTAGGCTCAACTCTTGCAAGTTCTTACACGGAAGTTCTTTTCTGCTCAGGAATTTCTGAATGCTTGCAGATATTCTAAAAGTGTTTAATAGGGGTTCAATGTGGAATTTGTAATATTGTCCCCTTTTCCTCCTGCAGTTCTATATTCCCTAGGCATGTTGTATTTTTATATGCTCAAAGTAGAAATCATCCCTGCTGATAGTTACTGCTGGAAGCTGCCTGCCGCAGAGTGGAGGCATATTATGAGATCGCTTAGCCACACTCCACTGCACCAGCACTTTAGTGAACAAAGCAAAAGCCACCTCTCGTCCCCTCAGCATGCATGGCTTTCCTTTGGCAATTAGAGTAGTACCATTTGTGCAGCTGTACTTTTGTCTGTGACACCCCCCCACTTACATCTGTACTGTTTTCAGAAAGTTGTAGCTCAAGATGTCAAAATCTATTTTGTAATGATCTAAAAGGACCTGTACAGTTTTGTAAAACCAGGATTTATTTTCAGTAGGTGCTATAGATGGTGTGTACATAGGCTAGACTGATTAAATTCAGGATAATACTGGTCATGTTCTGTTATCCCTCTGTAACAGGCACCAAGCAAGGTTTGTTTTCTGTGCTTGCTTGCTTCCTCTGTCCACTTCCCCAGACTGAAAAGTTCCTGGGTGGGCTTCCCCTGTTTGCTGTGATGTCCCAGTGCAAGTTTCTCCAAACTTGGATTTTGTTTCTTCTTTGCAAACCAAGTTCCTAAAGTGGGGTTAAACCATGATGTGGAGTCCCAGGTCCTTTCTGCAGTAGACCTTAAATCCTGGTTCAACCCTGTCCCCGAACTCACCTTCTGCACTACACTCAAGTTCACCCCTGTAATTATCTCGGGGTATTTTTTGTTTCCACATTACACTGAGGTCACCCCGGTTTCACCCCACACTTGTCCCGGGATAAACGGATGCTGTTATAACCAGGGATAAATGCAAGGTATTGTGTCGCGAGTTGAACTCTGATAAAACCAGGGATGAGATTCAAGTGCAGAAAGGACCCCAGGGTGTGGGAAGGAACAAACTCTTAACTTTCCTGCTGCATGTAGATGACAAGTTGGAGAACTTGCTTAAAGGTTTCTGAAACCACGAAGCTTAAGTTGTGCTCCAAATAAGAAGGGAGAGGGGTGGAATATACAAACACAGCAAAGAACCAGCATGGTATAGTGGTTAAAGTGTCAGACCAGGATCTGGGAAACCCAGGTTCGAATCCCCACTTTGCCATAAACGCTTGCTGGGTGACTTTGGGCCAGTCACCCATGCTCAGCCTAACCTACCTCACAGGGTTGTTGTGAGGATAAAATGGAGGAGAGGAGAATTATGTAAGCTGCTTTGGGT